AGTACGGTAGTTGAAACCTTGCCAAGTACGAAATTAGCTTGATTCCTTGGGAGCGATATAGTAAATATGGCCATAACTCTAATAAATCTTACTAGCCTTATTAATTACTTTCTGCTTCAATTAATCAACTGAGCTGAAGCGTGCATAGGATTGGTAATTTCCACTGTAAGGCAGTTGTTTTCCAGTAGATTCTGGAAGTGGAACGGACATGCTTGAGTATTGGAGTTCGAGTTGCTTTTGGGCTTCTTTGAGATCTACTGGATCCAGAGACGTGGCCAACCTAAAGCCAAAGAGAAAAGGTGAAGGCGGCGGAGTGGTATAAGGCCAGCTAGCCGTTTGATCGATGGGTTTCCCTCATCTATTAAACAGTTCGATCTTTTCTGATTTGGAACGAAAGGGGAGGGTTAAGAAACACAAAGTACCTTGCTGTACAAGGGATGGAACCCTGAACTCGTGATGCCAGTGGAAAGGAAGTTGGTAGCACGTGAGGATGTTGGCCTAAGCAGTCGTTCCTACTATGAACTTGTCTCTGGAGCTCTGGATTATTCGAGGGCTTAAGAAGAAAGGTATAGCACTTTTTCTTACTTTTCCACAGACCATATTCGTTCGGGATTCTTATCAAGGTTAATTTTGCGTTGTTTTTTTATCCGGGAATAAAGGTATGAACTAGCTTGATCAACAGTCCTAGAAGGTTAGTTCGAGCTTTCATCTATAATATATCTATCCCGTCTACCCCTCCTTGTTTCCGCAATACTGCTTGCCCTTAGAACTGAGCCCCATTTTTCCTTAACCTGATAGGTATGGGAGCGGATTATGATGGAAAACATGAAATGTCGCAATGACGATCCCACTTCCATACTTGAGGCTGACTCTGGCTACAGAAGGGACGCCCTGAATGGTCCCTGTATCGAGTACGCATTGTAATTGATCCAATTGCAATTCAATACTCGTTTATGTCATCGTCATCCCATTGTCATCACGTCGATAATGATGACACACTGTCGAATTATCGATTGATTTTCGGAGACTGATGCATCTTCATGAATATAGCCGGCCTGTACTATATAAAATATGACCATGCTACCATAATTTTCTTCCAGGTGGCCATGTGCATCCCTTCCTTCCCCATCTCCTACCCCTACCTTCTTCCTATATCCCCCTTGCTCTCCACTTGCTTTAACATCTCCATCCCCTCTACCCTTTAAGGTTTCTAAGGAGGGGCTCGACGTAGCTCAGCATATTATAGGCCACTTACAACTATTCTAGTGATACCGTCATCCCAGCGACGTCTGCTGAGAATTGCGTGACTCGCCTCAGACTTCTGGTTACCGTAATTCCAGCTGCGACCAGACAGCTCACATAATCCCCTGGCAAACATAAACTGAACGTGCTATTGCGCTAATGGGGTCACTACAAGAACGGGGAGCGGCTGGTTGAAGATATGGAGAAAATCTGTTCGATGTAGCCTAGTAGATAGAAAAATTGTGCCATGCTTAGATAACGAACGGGATTATCGATCATGGAAGGACCGCCACTAGTCCCGCTTTCAGGGAGAGTCTTGCTTTTTTCTTCTGTTAGATATGGGTATTGAGACAGGGACATAACAAAACAGAATTGACCTACCGTGAAAAGCCTGTTTCCTGCTATGTGACAGTACACC